ATGTCAGGACTCCACGTAACGTCACTGGTTGCTAGACGCCAGTCGGGGTGGCCCTATCGACCAGTTTATGGTAAATTAATTTTTATTCTGAGACAGAGCCTGGGGGGCCTTATTTTCGAGGGTATGCCTTATATTTCACTCAGAAGGAAACTTGTAAGTAGATCTTATTTTCGGGGAAACACGGTAGTACTCAGCAGGGAGATGCAAAACCTTTCCTCTAACATCAGAAACAAAGATGCTCACTTTTGCCACTTGTATTATACTTCACTAACTATGAAAACATTTTCTAAAATACATTTTTAAGTATATCAAATGACACCTTAAGTATAAATTGTATATTTTAAAATTTAAAAAGCAACCACTGCTTTTTCAAACAAATGAATGCCAGGCCAAGAAGTGAGAAATATGGGGATCCCAAGGTTAAAAGATTAGAGATACATGAAATGTATGGACTGTCTTTGACACCTAACTTGAATTGAGGGGGAAAAAGACAATTTAAATACTAACTAATCACTAAGAAATTGTTAACACTGATGGTATTATGGTTTATGTAAGAGTCTTTATCTTTTAGACATACATAGCAATTGCTAAGATTTTCTTCAAGATAAATCCAATTGGGAAGATGGATGGTATACAGATAAGACAAAACTAGCCACGAACTGATGTTTAAGTAGGTTCATTAAACCATTCTACTTTTGTGTATGTCTGGAATTTTCCACTTAAAACTTATAAAGCACTATGCAATGTCACTATGTGTAAGAACACAGGAAGCTGGCAGCAACCAAACACTACCAACTAAATTTTTATTAAGAATTTCCAGTCATCTCAGAGCAAGAGTTCTGGGAAATTTAATAATGAGGGTGTGACATATCCATGGAGTTATTTGTCAATGTTTAGTTAATACCACCAGTCACAGGCTAGCTAAATAGCTGTATCAGCCAAATATGATACACACAATAACACAAAGCACCGACTCCTCACCTACACAGTCCTTCTCACCAGAGTTCATTACAGGACCAGAACTGCCACTGTAATTACCCTCACTGGCTACAAAAAATACTACCTTCAGGTAAATACATGTCTATTGTATTTTATAATTTTATAGCAATCCCCCAGGCCACCTCATACTCACCCAAATTGCACATCCAATAGACACATGAAAAACAGAGTTATTAAAAAGTTAAACATAAATTTTCCAGCCAATATAACAATTACATTCCTAGGAATCTACCTAAGAGCAATGAAAACATACGTCCACACACAGACAAGTACATAAACATTCTTATCATTCGTAACAAAAAAAAAAAATTGTGAATAATCCAATGTCCATCAACTGGTGAATGGATAAACAAATGAGGAATATCCATACAGTGGAACACTATATGAAGGAACTAAGTACATGTATACACTATAGCATGGACGAACTTCAAAAATACACCAACTGAAAGCAGCCAAATACAAAAGACATCAAATTGTATTAATTTCACTTATAGTTTCTAGACAGGGAATCTCTATAAAAACAGATCAGTGTGGATGCCTAGGGCTGGGCCAGCAAAGCAGCATGAGGGGAACTTGTATGGCTGATGGAAATGTTCTAACACTAGACTGTGACAATGGTTGTACAAAGTCTATAAATTTACTACTGAATCTTATACTTACATGGGGTGAGTTGTATAGCATATAAATTATACTTCAATAAAGCTATATTTTTATAGAAACATTACACCCAATTCTTAGGAATGACTATTTTGAAGCTCTGGCTGACAGCCTATTCATTGTAGCTTCAGTACAATAAATTCTAATTTATGAATATTATTAGCATTTGTTTAAAAACTAAATATGCTATTTTAAAGGATTCCAAGTATACATATCTCTAAACCTTATCTAGCAAAATATTACTCTTTTAGCTATGTGTAATGTTAACAAATCATTGTCTATAGCTGGCATTAATTAGCCTTTTCTCCTTGCCATTTTGTTTTTCCCCTAATCTTATGCCCTACAGTATTCCTTTTAGTGAAAAATCTACTTGTTAGTGCCCAAGTTTTCCATTAGATACAAATTTTCTTAGAATATTTCACCACCTGAAATAAAATTTATATATAGTCTAAATATAAAATAAGCATTATCCTTTGTTTATTTGGTGATTAAGCTACTCTCACATGCTGCCTCTGATAAAATTTTTTTAATTTTTTATTTCAAATCAAGCTTTTCATTATTTTGATTCGAATTATTTTTTGCTTTAAACTGTTCTGATTCTTCATTTCAGAGCAATGCTGTCTTCTATGACCAGGCCAGCTTTAATTTCAATTTGATTCCATCTCTTTCCAGTCCACTGAAAAACCTGCCAAAGAGGATTTCCCTCTAAGCCAGCATTAAAAAAATAATTTTTTTTAAATCAAACACTTCCCCTCCTCCCACAAAAATAAATCTCATATGCAATGCCAAGTTCTACAAGGATTAAAGTAAAAAGCTACAGATGAACTGGAAGAAGAGCCAGCCTGCCTGCTACAGCCCAACCTCAAGAAATACAGCAGCCTTAAGGTATGGCTTAAAAACCAATGTTCTAGGACAAGCAACATTGATTTCTGCCCAGCACAAATACAAAACACACTTAAGCAAAACTCATAAGAAAAACTTGGATATATAAATTAAAATACACATTTTATAATCTCAATTTTAAAAATAGATTATAGTGATTCACAAAATAATATGCCTTTAAAATTCCATAAAGACATTGCTTTCAGGAATTTCATCTACTACAACAAACGCTGTGCATCTTTTATCAGAATTTCCCTTGTGACATAAAAAAAGCACGTCAACCAAGGAAGTCAAAAGCCACATTAACACAAAATATTGAGCCTTGTCATATAAATTAGCTGGTCAGTAGGAAATGCCAATTATCCAACAGGCCATTAAGAAAATAGGATGGCAAGAATGCTCTGGGTAAAACCATTTATGTATCTGTGTTACAAGGTTAAAAAAAAAAAAAAAAAAAAAAAAAAGCAGCATTATCTGCCTCCAGAATCAGATACAAATCAAGCCAAGTATTCAACCAAAATGGCAACAAATAGTAAGGATAATCCTAGAAAAGGAGCATGTACTATTATGAATTTTCAAATTTATCTAAACTGTCAGATATAAACCCCTTCCCCTCAGAAATCAAAGGTAAAGGTAGTGCAATATCAAACTTTACATTTTTAGAAAAAATAGAAATTATTATTATATGGTTGTAAAAATGGAGGCAAGTAAAGAGTTCAGAAATATACTTGTTTATAATCAATTAAAAGATGAGCCATAATTTGAACCCTAATTATCACATTTTGTAGAAATCACAATCCAGGTATTGTGTCCTCAATTATTAAGATATATGTTAAATAGTTCACATTTTAAAAACATTTTAGCATTACATTACCAAATTTGATAAAATCTTATCAAAACATCTATGTCTTCAATATAAATCATATTGTTAAAAGTATGAACATTTAAAGAAAACTGCTGAGGTGCCAAATAAGTATTTTCTGTTAAATATACACAAATTAACATTTAGAACTACATAAATTAATTCTTGCTGAAAGTTGATTTAGGTTTACAAAGGCATACTTTGTGAACTATAATAAATTTCCCCAGCACCATTTTCTTTTTTTTATTCCAAAATTATTTCATTAGGTTTAACTTTCTTCTGTCATTCGTAAGTAAAAGTTACAGGTTTACAATACGTAGTTTTAATAGTAATGTGTTTTAAAAAATCTAAGCAAAGTGCACATTAAACTAGCTGCAACTACTCAAATTTATCAAATAAAAAATAGAACACTTCATTCACTTAAGTCTTTGAGGAAAAAAATAGTATACCTTGCTTAAATAAGGATTCCCCAGTAAGGATATTATATAAAAGATTTCCCATGTATTTTATTAAGTTCACTGTCTCTCATTAAAACTTTTTTTAAAAAGTCTAATGAAGAACACATACTTACAATACCATATTACACAACTACAGTACTGATAATTAAATAAAGCAGCCCAGTATAGCTGTAAACATTTTAAATGTAGTAAACAAAACTTGGCATGTCTTTTATTCCTAAAACTTGCCATTACAATGTTCTTTCCAGGGAAATTATTCTTCCTGGATAAGTTTCATGTATATTTTAGTCTTTAAAAATATTACACTGAAATAATGTGTGAAAAAATTTAGGCATGGCAATTTCACTGAAGCTTTTATTGCCTCTGCTGTAATATGACAGGGATTGTAAGGAACACAATTGAACTTACAGAGATATGGTGATGATAGTCACTGAAGATAATTTTGATCTCAAGTATTTTTATATGTGGGCACTTCTAATTTTATTCACTTTAGTATTTTAAAAGCATTATATTTTAAAATGTGTACCTGTTTTGACATTTGGCACAGAGGAAACTGTACCTGTGGTTCAGTTTAAAACAAAGAATCAGCATGGGGAGATTACCAGAATAAAGATGAAAACACTAATGAATTAAAACAATTCAAGTGTGTGTGTGTGTGTGTGTGTGTGTGTGTGTGTGTGTGTGTTTCAACCTCTTTCTCACAGACATGCACTCACATGCATGCACTCACACACACAACCACATGTGTAAGCATTTTGAGTACAGAATAGTCCTGTAACCAGACACTTATCCTCAGAGTAATCATACCACATTAAATCAGTCTTCTCTTTTCAGCCCTAGGAATAATATTGTTTAATTCTAAGATGCCATCATAAGAGTGAACAACCTTAACTTTTATGCTACATAATTATATTCAAAGATTACGTATTTTTGTTTATAATTACACAGTAATTATAAATGTTTAGTACCAAACTGATGACAAATACTATTTCGTTGAAAAGGTCTTACATTTCAAAGGAAAAGTCTGTAAAACCCAAGGCACTAGGCCATGAACCAATATCAGACTTTTATGAAAAACAATTTATAATGGGGGGGAAAAAAGAATGGGATCTCATTTCAAGACACCGCATACTTGAATTAATCTATCTGAAAACAATACCATAACTAAAAATCTTCAAGACAGGAAACAAAATAATACATATATCTTTTAAATTTTTTTCATAATTGAAGTTCCTCTTTATATTTACAAATATGAAATCAGGAAATACTTGAAAGGGAAGCAGCAGGATTCTTCTTTTTTCTTCCTTCCTTCCCCCCCACCCCTCAAAATAACCAATTCCAGTAACTTGAATAGAAATTTTCGTATTTTTCTTTTGGAAGAATATGATTGGAATATTAATGTAAGATCTGTGGGAAACCTTTCTAGTCAATTTCAAAATCATGTAAATAAAAAGTGGTCTTAATATGTCATTGTTCTTAAAATCATTTCCACATCTAATTTCCACTGCTAATCTGAAGTACATTCTTTGATAATTTCAACATAAGATCTTAGAGAGTACCTGGTATTCCTGTTAAAGTCCAACATCTGAAGTTTTACATTTTTTAACCTACCTTACAGAAATCTTTAAAAAAGCAATAAATCCTCCTTCACATGTCAGGAAGTGAATAGGAAAATCAGCATTTTCAGCATAAAAGCAGTTCATAGGTCTTGTAATGAATATAATACATACAAGATAGAATTCTGCTTTGATGTGAAAACATCAAATTTGAGTGAAACAAAAACAGTAAAGAGACTGAATAATTTACAAAAATAGAAGCCAGATTGGTATTTTGCATCAAGTGCATGCTTGCTTGAAAATCTTTGCTCTTGAAGTATTTGGCAACCACAGTGATTAGCAGTTAAAGCCGTTTTCAACAAAATAAGGTCATCAAAAATGGACTATTTGTCTGAAAAAGCAGTACCTATGAGGATTGAACATCATGGCTCATCACAACCATTTTCAAAATTTAATTCCTACTATCTTCTTATAAATTAAGAAAATTTCATTTTTGTTCCATGGTGTGCTAAAAAAAATAAAATAAACCCTCATGCCTAAATTTAGAATATTGTATTGGGTAGCAATCTAAAACATTCCAAACAAATTAAATAGTTTAACTTATTCAACAGGCATATAAGCATTTCAAAATCATAATGAAATCCAATTATGCGCTGCAGAATGTAGACAGCAGAATCTAACATTATGCAGACATTTTCTAAATAAAAGCTCCCTGTAGGACAACTATATATAAACATAGGTAAGATAAGCAGAGTAGGTCTGTGTGACCTTTTGAAATCGAGGGTCTGAAACAAAATTTTTCAGGTAGGCACAAGAAATTATCCTAAAAATTTTTCACGTTGGTTATTTTGACATTTTTTTCATCAGATTCTCTACTCACATCAACAATACATGTGATTTTCCAGGAAAAAAAAAAAATCCCCCAAACCAAAACACCATTCCAGATCTGGTACACTTAAATATATCACTCTCATTGGAAGTGCTATTAGCATAGTCTTTGCAACTAGCCCAAAGCATATTATTTAAGAAGTTTTTATAAATTGTTTGTGATGTTCATGTTTAATTCTTATGCCACACTGTTTTCTGATGAAGACAGCATTGTGCTTTATGCAAGAATGGAAACCTCAAAATAATCACCATAAAGCTTCTAAGACTCATGGGAGAATAAACTAGGATGGTCCACAGATATAAGATGAAATCCACAATGTAGAATTATAAATGGTTAGAGCGGCCCAGACTAGAAGACAAGCCCAAACCACCATTAGAAGAATGAAATACGGTATGGTCCAAGATGTATCCTTAAAGTTTTGTCTCAACCCTCAGTCTGAATTACGAGGATTGATCTTCAGTTCAGTCCAGCCAGCAGAAATTGACTGTGCAATTTTCCGTTGTATTTATTGTACAGACTATGTACATTCTAGAAGGTTCCTTTAGTGCTACACTGTTGTACTTTTTGTCCCAGCAATTTGAGGGCGTGCAAATTCCACAAAGTCATCAATAAGAACAGGCCATGCTCCTGGAGGTGGGGGGGATGGGGTTATGGGAGGAAGGAAAGAAAGAAAAGCAGAAATAAGACTAACATTTTAATAAGTTCCTTTATATTTTAACTATCTTCCACATAATAAAGTATAACTTTATAAATATTCCCACAAATAGGACTTTCAAAATTCAAGCTTTGATCATTCTTTAAATGATAAAAAATAAATCTTCTGCTAATCCATCATTGTTATTATGGTTTCCCTGGCTAGAGTGGCTCAGTGGTTGAGTGTCGACCTATGTACCAGGTCATGGCTCAATTCCTGGTTAGGGCACATGCCCAGTTTGCAGGCTCCATCCCCAGTGTGGGGCATGCAGGAGGCAGCCAATCAATGATTCTCTCTCATCTCTCTCTCTCTCTCCCTCGCCCTTTTTTCCTTCCTGAAATCAATAACAATATTTCTTAAATAATAACATGATTTTCTGAAAGCCACTGAAGTCAGGTCACTACAGCAATTTGGTCAAAATTGATATGTAAGGAATAATCATAATATACTGGCATGCTGCCAGTGCTTAAAGCATAGTAAGTAGGAAGAAACAAATTTTCATGCATTTTTTGAAAATCTTACAAAAAAATCTTAATTAACAGCAAGTATCCAAATCTACCCTTTTTCATGATAAATACTAAAAAATTTTTAATTGTACGCCTCTATACATCACATGCCAATCTCTAAATCAGAAAGTTCTTCAGTTTTCTGTAAGGCCTAGCACCACAATTATCATTCATATGCAAGATTAGGCATTTCTTACTTTTTAATGAACACTATAAATTACAATGAAAACAAAAAGAATAAAATAACATCATCTCTGGTTAGATTATATGAATGGCTCCAAGACACTTTTAACGAGGCCAAACCACTGGAGATTTTTCAAAGAACACCTCTGTCTGTAGAACAATCTCAAAAACACTGACATGAAGAAGTATGAGGAAGTCAATGTAAATCACTACCACTTCTAGATAAACAGGTAGTAGATGGTTGCATCATCATCTTTACAGGAAGAAATAACAGAAAAGCACTTAATCAGTGAATATTTATTGATTGTCAATAGTATTATAGTAGGCAGCTGAAGTACATTTCAAATTAGACAAGGTCACTAAACTTAAGTTTACTATTCAACTTCACAGACAAGACAAACACATAATAATAAAAGACATACATATAAGTATAAAAGTACTTTGCTAAGAGAACAGGTTTCCTAAAATAAACTGAAAATCTAAACATGAATGAAAATTACTCGTACTTTTTTGGAAGATACGACTATTGACTTGGTATTTAAAGGAACTATAAACTGATGAAGAAATGAAGGCACTCCATACATTTAGAAGAGCACAAATAAAAGCTCAGAAGAGGGAAATCCAACTCCAAGAAAAACAGAAGTAGACAAGAAGTTCAAAAGTGTATGATAAAAGAAGGCAGGTAAAAACAAAAAACTGGAAGGGCAAAACGTTTTATTACCTTCCTCATCATAATTAGACATGTCATCTGCAATCATTGTACTGAAGTCTAGAAGAAGATTCCAAGTATCTTTTGGTATGGATCGTTTATGATGTTCCTATTTAAAAAAATCCAAATCACTAAAAAGAGGTTTTGGTTTTTTTTTTAAAGTCCAGATGATACTAAATACAAGAATGCAAACCAAATTGTGTATAGAAATTTTACTTATCAAATTTCTCCTTCTATGTTCATTACATGCTCTAATAAGAGTCAATCATGCTTTAAAATAGATCATGCTTTAATTTATTTTCAAACATAAGAAAATTTTTGAGAAAACAAGGAACTGCAGAAAACATGAACTTACCAACAAAAATTTATTCCATAAGTCTAAGAATTTAAATCTTCCATTAAGCACTAAATTCCAGTAGGCAATGGCCATTTCTAGATCTGTAATATTAAAAATAAATTATGTATGTCAAATGCCATGAATATTTGTCCTTAAAAAACTAACAAAAAACAGGTTAGATCACAGAAAGACAAAAAACAAAACAAAACAAAAAAACAACACTAACCCTTGTGCTCTAAATACTTACATATTAAAATTTCCTGAAAAAAATAAGCCCAAGTTTATATCCTGGCTCCATCACCAATGGACGATTCCATCAGGGCAAGAAGAATACCACTTACCTCAAAGGGTGTTCCTGAAGTTTCAATTAGGTAATGTAATAAGCAGTAATAAGCATGCTTGGCTAGTTCATCAGTACTCAAATGTTAATGTTTCCCAACCTCAGCACTTTTGACATTTTGAGCCAGCTAATTTTTTGTTGTGGAGTGATGTCCCATGCATTGCAGCAATAGCAGCATCCCTGGCCTCTAACCACCAGATGACAATATCAGCTCCATCCTATCCCGGTGGTGACCACCAAAGATGTCTCTAGACATTGCCAAAGGTCCCCTGAGAGACAAACTTGATCCTGTCCTCAATGAAACTATTTTTTTAAAAATTTAAAATTAATAAACTAAGATTTGTTTTAAAAATTTGATGAAATTATGTAATGTCCATTTTATGATGATTGTAGCAGAGAAGGGTAAAAAAGCAATACTGCCACATGACAAAGACCTACACCTGACATATGACAGAGAGAAAGACCCATCATCTCTTTCAATGAATTAAAGCAGTTAACAAGGTATTAAGCTTTAATGAGTAAATTTACATTTCCAGCTCAGGAAAAATTACATCCTAAGTAACACATTGTGGGTAGATCATGAGCATTCTCATGTTTTCATATTACACAGTGTTTTACATAAATGTTAAATGCACACCTTAAAATTAAATATCCATTGCATTTTGGAATTCTTACATGTCCTTACAAGCTAGTATCTTTTTAAAGTATGATACTTTGTAAAGCGTTTTTTGTACTCGTTCAATAGGAACTTATCTGGCCACTGGGTAAAACTAGCAATAAAATTATTGGTGCACAATGTGTTAAAAAATCCTTTTGGATATGATCTCCAAAACACTCTTGATAATCTGGGGAATCATGAGAGAGTAGGAAGGACTTCAAAAAGACTCACATTCTACCTGAAAGAAAAACATAAAAAGGCCATAAGGAGAAAAAAAAAAAAAAAAAAATCTCCGTAGGATATCAATCACTTCAAGGATAGGAACTACATATACGCAAACTGGCAGACTGAAATACACAATAATTATTGAGAAACTGAATGAATGAATGCACATGCTATGGTCCCAAACCTTCAAACCCGTCATTACCTCTTCCTTTAAACTCAATGGAACTTTTTTTCTCCTATCCAAAGATAAGTCCCCAGCACCCCTAGTCTCACCCTGCCTCTTCAAGGCATCTTGTCTATTATCTTTTGATTAATTTTCCTCCCTTCCTACATCTTCAACTTTGCCATCTTCTGGCTTTCCCCCTCCACAAAGAAACAAGCTCAGGTTATCGGCTATGTTTAAAAAATCTATTTTGGGTCTTTCATTACCTTACTAGCTACCCTCTTTCTCCTTTCCTTCACAGATAATATTCTATTTTCATTTATAATGTGTTCCTAAAACATGTCTGAAAGTCAAACTCAGATCCCCATATTTTAAGAGAACTAGAAATATGACGCCACCAATTCCTATTCACAATTCCTTTTTAATCTTTAATTAACCAAAATTCCTTCCAGGTTCTTAAATTTTGTCCTTTTCTTTATCAACCATCAAACTTTAAGTGCAGTTAAGTAAAACTGCTATTATTAGCAAGCAGAGTAAGATTTGCTGTTATTAATATGCTTAACTATTTCCTTCTTCACTTCAAAAGCATTAAATGTATAAGGACTAAGCTCATTATTAGTGTTATCATTTTTTCTTAACAATGAAATATTTATATAACTGCGAAACATGAGACACCTATAAATGCCCATCTGTCAGCCAATACCTAAGACTCTGACAAGAGTAGAAGTGTACATGTATGATGTTTGAAGTTCAGGTTGTAAAAGAGAACTTTTTGTAATCTACATTCATTACCCCATTTCCTCACCTCCACACACTATTTAATTCTATAAACTTGTCTCTGCCTCTGCAACTCCACTAAAGTGGTCTCTGGAGTGGTTCCCAAGCAGACACTTCTATGTCCTTAGTTCACCTCGCTCTCTGCAGCGTTTCACAGAACTGAGCTCACCTAGATGGGACTTCAGCTTTAATGGTCGCGCCCTGCAGACTGCCTTCTGTCCTCTCTAGCCTTCTTACTCTTCTTCACAGGTTCCTCTTCCTCCATTCTTCCATTAAATGTCAGTGTTCTATAACACTGTATGTCAACAATAACCACTTCCACTTCTCTCAGATTTTCCAGACCTTTACTTTTCTTCACACTAATAACTCCTAAAACTGAAATTTCTATCTCTATTTTCCTAGATTCATATATCTAATTGCTTAAGGACATCTTCAAATGGGTAGCCCCCAAAAAACTCTTAATTCAATAGGGTTCAGACTGAACTCATTTTCTTACCTCTACAGACCTGCTATTCCATTTATCTCAATAAATAGCATCCCCTTCAGTGCTTCTCATCGAAACATCTCATTCTGAGGAACTGTCTTATGTATTGCAGGACATTTAGCATCCCCCTAATGTCAGCAGAAACCCTCAGTCATTATGACATCCAGCAGACACCCCCCCCCCCCATTTCCAAATAGTCAAGTGTGTTGAGAAATGTAAGGAAACTCCTTTCTTCATCATATACTTCCAATCGAAGCTCTCTCATTCTGACTTCTCCATCTCCATTGGCAAGGCCTATACCAAGGTCGTCTTCATGTCTAGCTAAATCACTACAACAGCTTCATAACCAGTCTCTCCCTCTAGTTTTGCCCCTACTCCTTTTAAAGGATCAACAGTGCTTTCAAATGAAGCTTTCAGGCATATTTATTTGGTGTCACTTCCATGTTAAATTCTTCAATGATTAAAACAACAAGATACCACTACACACCTTTTGGAATGGCCAAACTCCACAACACTGATAACACCAAATGCTGGCGAAGGTGTGGAGAAACAGGAACTCTCATTCATTGCTGGTGGGAATGCAAAATGATACAGCCACTTTGGAAGACAGTTTGGCAGTTTCTTACAAAACTAAACATATGCCTACCATAAGATCCAGCAATCACACTCTGCAGTATCTACCCAAACGAAGTGAAAACTTATGTCCACACAAACACCTGCCTGTAGACGTTTACAAAAGTTTTATTCTTAACTGCCAAAACTTGGAGGCAACCAACATGTCCTTTAGAAGGTGAACAGATAATTGACTGTGGTACATCCAGATGAAGGAATATTATTCAGTGCTAACACAAAATGAGCTATTAAATTGTGAAAAGACATGGAGGAAAACGAATGCAATTAATATTACTAAGTGAAAGAAGTCAACCTGAAAAGGCCATATACTGTAAAATTCCAACTGTATGACATTCTGGAAAAGGTAAACTATGGAGACAGTAAAAAGATCAGTGGTTGCCAGGGTTAGCATGGAGGAAAGGATGAGTAGGCAAAGCAGAGAGGATTTTTAGGGCATGGTACTACAAATCATTATATATTTGTCCAAACACACAAAATGTACAACACCAAGAATGAACCTTAATGTAAAATTGAACTTTGGGTGATAATGCTTGGGAAGTATGGGGGGAGGTTAATAATGGAAGAAGCCAAGCATGTGTGAAAGGGGGTATATGGGAAATCTCTGTACTTCATGCTTAATTTTGCTATAAGCCTAAAACATCTCAAAATTTTTTATTGAAAAATGTTTTTTACTCTACAATGATTTCATTTTCTATTGCCTTCAGATAAAAACTACCATCTCTAGTCAAAAGAATTTACTTGCAGTTTCTCAAAGCTGCTCCATCTCTCTCCACATTAGAGATGACTTCTTTTTCTTTCGTCCTTGAAAATGTATAATTTAATCTTTATGAAGACTTTGCAAACTCACCCAGACAGACTTAAGATGCTCCTGACAACATGCTCTCAGAGTAAGCAGTCAATAAATGTTGAATGAAAAAGGAACACTCAAAAAAAGTTAAGAGCTGAAACAGAGATAAAATTAAGTTGAACAGAGATAAAATGTTAACTGTCACAAGAACAGAAAAACGTGCCTTTAAACAAATGTTTGAGTGACAGAGAGAATAACCTAACTAGAGAGAAGTGCTTTAACATAGTTTCAGCCTCTTAAATTTCAACTCCAGCACTAGTTAATGATCTTGGGCAACTGAATTCATGCCTCTAATTCAGTTCAAAATAAAAATAATTTAATGTACTCTCACAGGTTGTTGTTAAGGATCAAATGAGTTAATACATATAAAACATTTAAAATTGAGCCTGGTAAATATGAGTTCCTTACTATGACTTCTTTAAATAATTTAATAATTATTATAGATTCTGAATCAGTATTGGAAAGAACAAATTCACTAATAAGATAGAAAGAAATAAAAGCAGTTAGAAGGAAAATGCAGAAAAAAAAGGAGACAATCCCTTACAGTAAAACTAAAAATGCAAACAGAGGTAATCCCTGTGTCATTCTTTCCAAAAGAATCAAAAGGCCAATGTGGGATTTCATAAAAGATGATCAACTGAGTGCCAGATGAACATGAAAATGAATTAAGATTGGATCCAAGCATTGTTCCTACAGGAAACAAAATGTTGCCAACTTACTAAGGAGGACAGAACAGTGATTAAAAATCCTATTCAAAATGTTTTCATTTACTTAGAACTATCTACAGTTAGAACAACATAGTGTAATTTTAAAAATGCAGAAACTGGAGTCAGATCTAAGGTTGAATCGTAGCTCTCACATAACTCTAAAGTTATGGGCTTTTAATAAGTCAGATTCTCTGACATGATTTTCCTCATCATGAAAAGAAGATAACAGGTTTCTTTTAATTTAGCACAAAGGGTTGTTACAAGAGCCAAAGAGGATTTTATAGATGAAAATACACTTTAAAAACAATCAATAAAATTATGCCTAAATATTAAAGTAAATGTTTAACAATGTTAAAAATTTTTAAATCATTTAACAGGTGTAGGATTCTAACTGAAAACCACAGTTTACAAGAAAATAACCTATAGACTTTAGTCTAATTAAAGTTCAGAATGGTCCTCAAAATGACAGGGCTGTTAAAGAACTAATATAATTTTTTACTAAATAAATATCAGTCCCACAAGAAATAACTGATCCACAGTATTCTACATTAAACAGTCTCTGTCTGAAGTATTATATTCAGCTTCAAGAACTCTATTCTGAGAGAAACTAGAAATGTGTCTTCAGGGGACAGTAACAGGAATAATAAAGGTCTCCTCAAATGAACAGTTAAAATAACTGGGATACTGACCTGCAACAAAGGAGAAGGGTGATAGTGACCTTTTAAGGCTAGACTTCCTCTGTGTGTAGTAGAGGACAAATAAGAGCAATGATGGAAGTTATAAAGACAAAGATGTTAGCTAGTAAGGAAGAACTGTGTGGTAACAAGAGTATCCAGTGAAGAGAATGGTCCACTTCCTAACATAAAGTGCCCACTTTCCCTATGTTCAAAAGTAAAAGTTACATGAACATCAGGTACAAATGCTATTGTAGAACTAACAGAGGACTTATGAAGTCCCTTTCAAAAATTTAAGATTCAGAAGACTATCAGAAATGGCAGGCAGGTGACTGAAGCAGATGGTGATAAAGGAAGCACCCCATCCTACTGTCACAAGAAATAAGGTTAGAGACAATGACATAAATGAAAAACACCAGCTCTTACTATCACTCGCACAGCTCTCCTATAATAATAAAGAGCTAACATGCTAATGGTTGCGATGTCCTCACGCCATAACAACAGATCAGGAGGAGGCTGCATGTGTGTGCCCAGTGGGGCGGAGCCACTGCATTGCTCCAGAGAAAGGGTGAAATCGCGGAGGCGCCCGGAGAAGGTGGGACCATCCCATGGTGGGGAGGGCGGGCGTGAGCGCCCATAGCGTCCCCCTCACCAATCCTTCACCACCCACCCACCCACCGCTCGCACTCAGCACCCCCCCCCCCCAGGGAAGAACAGCGTGCTGCCAGGGAGCGGCGCTGGAAACCCTGCAGCAGGCGTGAGGCTTCCACGCTCTCCTCCCGCGCCATGACTCCTCCCGCGCCATGACGGGGCGACACCGCCGCCACGTTGCTCCAGAGACCTTTGCTCCAGGGACGGGGCAGAAATAGGGAGGCACCTGGAGGAGGTGGGACCAGTCTGAAGCAACCGAGGGCGGAACCTGAAGAGGCCAAAGGCGGCTGGAGGGGTCAGGGGCAGAGCCAGGCACACTCAAGCTCTTGGTGGAGAGTTTAGGCTGTGGAGGCAGGGTAGCGGGTGGGTGGGTGAGGAACGTATGGTGGGCGGAGTCACGTGTTTTCACGTGCTGGATCTCTAGTTCTATATAATAATCCTACATAATAAAAGGTTAATATGTAAATTGTCCCTTCAACTAAGGGTTGGACCAGGGGGTAGGGATGGCCAACTGCCTGTGGCCCTCCTCCCGGCTGGCCCCGCCCCTGAAAAATCCCCCCACCCCAATCAGGGCGGTACCAGACCCCCAACTTCCCGCAGCCCCTCCCCCTGGCCACCCCGCCAACCACCTGCAGCCCCTACCCCTCGCCAGCCTGGCCCAATGGGCCGCAATAGGGGCAGGCCAGCCAAACCCCACTGTGCACAAATTATTGCACCAGGCCTCTATTCTATAAAAGCCTAAGCAACTGTTAAAGTAGGACGCCAAAATGACAGGTTGCCATGTTGCGCACTGACCACCAGGGGGCAGATGCTTAATGCAGGGCTACCCTTGGTGGTCAGTGAGCTCCCACAGGGTGAGCGCAGTGGCAGCGGCAGGAGCTTCTCCTGCCTCTGCAGCAGCGTTAAGGAGCAGTGAGGCAAGTAGTAAGGAGCAGCGAGCAGTAAGAAGAGAGGAGTCCTGGACTGCAAGAGGGCACAGCCAGGCTGACGGACACCCTCACACCCAGTGCATGAACTTGGTGCACCAGGCTCTGGCATATGAATAAACCACACTGCTGTCACTGTTACTCTTTGCCAATTTGTTTTGGACCTCATTTCCACTCCTATGATCTTCTAATTACTCTCTGCCAAATACTTCAATATAAGAACCCTGTAAACCCTTGGAAAGGCTATCAAGAAAACTGTTTTTTTTTTTAAATCAAGTTCTTCAACTAAATAAGTCATGACATTTCCTGACACCCAACATCATTGCAAAACAAAAAAAAGAAACTATGACTTACTTCAGTTTTCTTTTTTTAATTAAGACATTTTTAGTTTTAGTTTCAAGTTTATGGGAAAAAATTGAGGGAAAAGTACAGAGACATACCCAAAACCTCTCCCTCTGTTCCTCCCATTTCCAGTATTTTTAACATCTTGCAATTGATAAGCCAATATAGGTATATTATTAACTAATGACTGTATTTTACATTAGGGCTCACTCTGTTGCACACTCTGTGGCTTGGGGGAGCTTAAAAACAAATTTGAAAATTGTTGTTAAATATATAAAACATGAAATGTATCATCGTAAGCATTTTTAAGTGTACAATTCAGTAGTGTTGAGTACATTCACATTGTTGTATAACTAATCTTCAGAACTCTTTTCATCTTGCAAAACAAAAACGTTATACCCATTAAATAGTATTACATTTTTCTTAAGCTCAATACCTACTACATAAAAGAATAAACATAACTTTTAAACTTAATTCCTCTACATAATCTTTCTCAATTTTTTCTGTAATCTAAAATTCCAATTTACCATATTATTTCCAATTAGCTATAAAAGTTTAGTTTTGCTTTATTTTCATCATATAATGAAAACTAAGATTCAATAACAGAAAACTACATATTCACCAAAAAATATTATTTATTTTGTACTCCAGTAAGGGTTAGGGGATTAAGAAATAGATTCATCCCCTTTAAATCATCAATATTCACATTTTGTTTAATCTTACCAAAATATTGTTGTATTTCCAAACATAACAAATAATTATCTTACTATATATATATATATATATATATATATATATATTAAACACTTTAATTGGTTTTTACATGTGGAAAGCAAAAGATTAGAAAAAAATAGCCCAGTTAACTGGTGGCCACAGAAGAAGATAGAAAAACCAGCCCTAGGTGTACCAGCTCATTTCATCTGCAAAATGAGAAATTTTTCTGTAAAAATATCCAACCTAAACTGAAGAATCAGTTGGAAATGAGGCTTCATTGTTTAGAATTTTGCTTTACAGATATTTTATAAACCTTTAATCAGTTTCAGGTTTGGTCACTCTTTAAATCAATTCTTCCATGCAAATGTTCTACATTCATCCCTTTCTCACTAATGTTCAATCACTTCCTCAGTCTAATCCCTATTCACGTATCTTTTTCTCAATGCTTTTTCCCTCCTCTTATCTAAAATACAAAGAATTAGTACAAGAGACTCCTAATAGCCTCTCCGACGACTGTATATCCAAAATAAAACAACAAACTCACTTCAATCAATAGGTAACTTATTTAACCTACCTGAGTCTCAGTTTCCTTATCTGCAAAGAATGAAAATATGGCCAGTGTTCTATTATTATGTACCTGGGACACTGCAAGTGGTGAATTACTGAATGAAATGATAACTCCCTGAAGTTGTTTAACATTAAATGTGGCAGTGTATGTAAAGTTCTTAGCACACTGCCAGGCATACTGAAAGCTCATGTTAAATGGAAGTTACTGGCATCATCAAAATCTTCAGTGCCTCCCCATTGCCCACAAATTCCAAAGTAAACCTTTCTGTCCTGTTTTTAAAAGAAGCGTGTGGTTACTGAGCCTTAATGTGTTTCACCAATTTAATCTCTAAACAAGCACTAAAATCAAATCAACATTTTCTGGCTCCCTCAAAGCCAAGTTTATTTCTCAAGTTTCAGAGCCTCATTCATAACTGCCCTCTCACTGGAACACCTTCTATCTTCCCTTGCCCAGCCAAAGCAAACCCTTCAGTCACATCCCATCTTCCCAGGAAGCATGTCCCTACCATTCCAGCTTTTACTCACTTCCACTTTTATCTAAAACCCTCACACACGTTATTTTATATTATCTGCTACTGTCCAATCTTTCTGGGTAAACCGGAAAATACACTATAGCTTTTAGTTCCATATTCTCTATGCCATCCCCAAATGTATAGATATGACATACAGTATAGATTAATCTAAATTGTTAACAGTAGTTATTTCAGGATAAGATTATGAATGATAATCATCTTTTTTTAATTCTTTCTTATGGTTTCCAAATAAATCATTTTATGATTCACAAATCTTATACTGCTATTCTACAGATCTATAGTGAAATAACTTATGATCCTAAATTTCTATAATATTTTCTGGGAAACAAACAAATGAACATACATATGTCAGGGGAATTTTAACAACTATTTATTTTCTGTACAGTTCTTTTAAAAAAAAAAAAATCAGTGGTTCAGATATGACCAGGGTAACCAACTCTATTTCTGAATGTGCTTAGTACTGATCAAGTCACCAGAAGTTCACTGTTTCTCACTGCTTTTCAGGAAATGTTATTTTCATATTTTTTACTCAAAACACGTAACTTTCTATTACAAAACAAAAGTGATACTGTCAATGTATTTGAAACACCAAATATAATTTTTAAAAATTCTTACCTAATCCTTTTTGTCCTGGATTCTTTGCAAAATTAAAAGTAAACTGGTAAAAATCCTTAAATCGTCCTGGTTCTTTCAATTCTTGTTCCATCTTGGGTATCTGGGCCTTTAGTTTTTCTATGCTGTCACATCTACATTGTAAAATTAAGTTTATAAAAGATAAACTTTTTCACTATAAATTAAGGACTTAACTTATTCCTATGATAGCTTATCTTTATTTCACAGAACGTTTTAAAAATCAGACAGCTGTCATTCTCTTTTTACATTACATAAACAAGTATGGATTTAGTTAGAGGAAGAAAAGGTCTGAAGTGATTAAATGTTAGAAATAATTACTATTTTGGAAAGAAATGGGCCATTACTTTAATTACATAACTCACTGAACTATTAACACACCTGAAATGTAGAAGTCAGCTGTCGTGAACGGATGAGAATGTGCACTAATCAACAACAATCACCAGTTTAAACTGTCGTAGTTACTCCTTTGATGGTAACAAAACACATGTCTAGCTTCCAAACTAATTGAAAGCATAATTTCTTATTTTGGTGAATGCACTCTTCTTGAAAAGTTACATTTTGTTACATATAAAGTTTAAGTATGTACTAGCATTTTCAACTGAAGTTACAATCCACAGTAAGCTCTATTTTTGCAAAGTATTCAACTTCTAAGGAATTGAAAGGGTCCAAGTACCAGTCTTACTTTTCATATAATAGCCCTAAGATAAAAATATTCTATTTCTTATATAGAGTCTACAAAGGTAATCACTCCACTTTTTTCTTCTGATCTTTTTGCTTTTATTTTCCTTCTATGTTCTTTATAATGCCTCCCTTATCACTGTTTGTAAATTAAAATTTTTATTTGGAAGTTCATGTTATACATAAATTCAGCTTCAAAAGAAAAAAAAAAGTGTGTTTTAATAACATTTGTCCTATCATAAAAAATTGCAAGTTCAAGATGGGGCTGGCTTTGGTTGTGGAACACAGTGTCTAGGCCAGTTATTAATTTATTACCTCTCAACTTTAAACCCACTCTTCTTTGCCCTAAATTGTGACTATCTGTAGTGGACTAAAAATTGTGAGATTTTCTTTTCTTGCCAGTTGGCTCACTTTTAGATTCTATCAACTGAGGGCAATGAAAAGCTGAAAGAGGAAAGGAACTTTTCTTATTCCAGTTTGTTTTCTGCAGAGAGCAAGGGGTGCAGCGTGCTGGAAGGCCCCAGCAGTGTCTACCAATGATAGCACCTCACATGGCCCCACGGCAAGCGGCCTCTAGCCAGTTTTTCTTCATCAGAGAGGCAGACAAGCAGGCATCACAAGCTTTGTGCTCTGCAGCAGCCATGCCCTCTCTTTTAGGTTCCTTGCTTACTCATTTCCCTCAGTTCCAGGGGTGGTGGCAGTTTCTTGCAACTGCAACCTCTATTATACCTCAAAGCTTTCTTTCACCCCTTTTACATAGTAAAACAATATTTTCAATTTAATCTATTCAAAATACCAATATATTTTTGTGTCTTGTCTGGACTCTGATTACAGTGCACCTCAAGCTCAAGGTCAGAATGCCTAGGATCAAATCCTGGCTCTAAATACTACCTAATTCTAGTTCTCTGTACCTCAGTTTCCTCATCTCTAAAATGGGGATATAAATACTTCTCATACACAGTTATTGTGAAGAGGTAGGTGAAATACTTAGCACAGTTCCTGAAATAAAATAAATGTTCAACAAACGTTAATTATTATTTCATAGTCATCCACTAAAAACAAAGGGCAGCCTGTTTCCTATCCATAGACTGAGTACTTTTGCAGCCTCATTAAATACAGACAACTAGAGGCCATAGGTAAAACCTCTACCCATGACTTTTTAATTTATTTATCCCAAGTCATTTAAGCTAATCAGATGTCAAGATAAACTGAACAAAAAGTGACTAATACCTTATAAAATTTTAAATTTTAAGAGCTGTTCATAAATTTAGAATTTGCAGCCTCATTTTATTAAATACCTTAAAACCTGCTCGCTTATCAGGTTAAATATTAGTAATTTTATTAATTAAAATAGTAATTTATTTTAATGTTAAGTACAATGCAAATGGAATAGGCTGTTCTAACTATGCAGATAACTTGACAAACCCAGAAAATTGGATAACATGGGAAGGAATTAGCATATTAGCCCATTTCTATTTATAACAATGTTTGTGGGCTGACAAATTCATGTTTACATTGAAAACCTCATAACATAATTCATTTCCATATATAATTCTCATAGTAATGAAATTAATTTCCTTTGATAATTATGTGCTCACCCTAATTCCGTCATGCCGTCCATGAACTCTTGCTTGGAGAACTCGCACTGTGTTGCTGCTCTGAACTTCCATGCAATGATCAATACACTAATGCTGGCTGGATCGAGGGCCAGGTCATCACAGAACTGTTGTATACCATCTATTCCAATTTTATTTTCATCTTGAGGATCTTCACAAATAACAATGCAATATTAAGTTAATGCCATAGGATGCCAGAATTATATTATTTCTAAAACTAAAAAGGTAATGCTTTATGCTCCATTAAAAAATAATCACATAGACCAAAGACAAGAAGCAATATTACTAAGTATCTCCCCTATAATATTCAAAGCTGATGTGCCCTCAAAATAGCACTCTTAATATGAACAGGAAGTGGTGGGGGGTGGAGGGAGCTTGATATATGGTGATGAAAATGGTTTGACTTTGGGTGGTGGACACACAATGCAGTATACAAATCATGTATCATAGAAATGTATACTTGACATCTATATGACCCTAGTAACCAATGTCTCCCCAATAAATTTAATAAAATTATGAAAAGATGGATTCATACTTCATGCTACATACTAACATAAACTCTAAAAAAAAGATGAACAGGAGAATACACAGGGTGGGGCAAAAGTAGCTTTACAGTTTTGAGTACACAAAACAGTTCGTTCTTGTATTATTATTTTTCATACAAACAACTGCATATCTACTTTGCCCCACCCATTTTTACACATAGATGGGCACTTAATTTTTAAGACTCACTTATTCATATGAAAAATGTCCCATACTCATACACATTCAGAAAACCTGACAGTATATATAAAGGATTTTTACTGAACCCATCCATATTTTAAGTAAACATTCTAAATTAACAGTATTCTGTACAAAAAATCTTTTTTCCTTAAAACTAAGTTCACTCTACATGGCAATTACTTCTTGAGAGTATCAGAAAAACCATAAACTCAGCTATTAAATCCTAATCTCAACAATATAAATACCTATTGTTCAAATTAAAGAAAAATATCAACTATCAATATTTACTTATCAGACAGAAAAACTTTTAAATAGTGACAAATACAAGGAGAAAGAGGCACTCATACGTTTCTACCAAGTGTGCTTTGCTAACATCCCCCCAAAAAAGTGACTTTTCTGATTTGGGGGAATGAGTTATGCATAAAATATTCCATTTTTGGAAAAACATTTTAAACTTTGTATACATATTTCTGCATAAACAAAAAGACACGGAAGGATCCACAGAATTAAGTACTGGTTCCCTCAGGAGAATAAATAAGGAAAAAATGGAGAAACTATTAACTTTCTTCATTCATCTATTTTGTATTACTTAAACATTTTAAAGAGCATATTACTTTTAACTTCTTTAAAGGTTATTAAAATTATCACGCAGGTATTCTTAAAATCAGTTCAGCTGAGTTTTATTAAATGGGCGGAGGGGGTGGGGGGGAGGAGACCCCCACCCTCATTCTCAAATTCTATTATGGGGGAAGAAATAAAGAAGCTAAGAAAAAGTATCAGTGGAAAGAGAAAAATAATTTATCTTCGATCTCTTTTAAGTAAGTCTAAGATCTACAGAGTTCTGTTGAGATATCCACCTATATCATGTGTTCTCTGTATTATGCATATATATAAATACCTATAAATATGTCCTATGTGTTATTTCTCATAAGCAGCATGTAACTTTGGAACACCTGGTTCAAAATATTTGAAGTTACAAGTAAACACTCACCTTTGTATCTATTGTATAGTTGTTCTAACTTCTTCCTGTCCAATGATCCTTTTACACTCTCTCGGATATAAAGTTCAGGATTTTGGAAAAAATTGTCTGTTGCAACATCTAACTTCCAGTCATTTTGAGACAGGCAACTTACTGCTGTTTTTTCACTAGATTGTGTGAAGATCATAAACTGACGAACTTTATCCTTCTGCGATGATTTCAACTTGTTCTATTGAAACCAGAAAATAAACTGAAACACGATGTAAAAATCACGGAACACTAAAGTGGTATTTCTATATGCCTGACTAATCACTCAGCAATACTTTTTCCTCATGATTTATTAAACCATTTTAGTTCAAGATTTATTTTTTATCTACTAATCAGAAAGACAAATTTTTAAGAAATCTAAAACAAAATTTAGTATCATCCTGCATTTCTTCTAAAAGTGGATCCTGAAAGCACGTATAAAGGCTCTAGAAGGGAAGTACAGCTACTCTCAAAACCTTAATCAAGCACGAAGTTCTAAAGGGATATACATATATATAATAACTGGTGGGGAAGGTGACATTATCTAGCCAGCCAGAACAATCAAATGACCCTGGGTAACAATGAGATTAGCAGGTGCTTGCTAAAGTCCTAAAACCCACTATAAAAAACAGAGTATAATCCTCCTCCCAACTCCACCCCTTGTTTTCTTGCTATTTTATAGCAAATGTGAGAAAGCAACAGACTATGAGTAGCTGTTATTTTCCTGGTGGTGTTCAGAAACCAAGATAATTACCAATAAAATTTCATAATCAGAAGCCCTTGAAATATGAACTACCATGCATCTTTCCAACAAAGGTAAACAGGATTCTCCCTTTCCCCCTGAAAGAAACACTATTTCCCCTTAGCTTGAGCCTAGCATAGCCTCTCTCCAAAAAGCTTCTCTACTGTAATAATAACCTTTTCTCACTTGCCTTATGTTGATACTGATTCATTTCTCATCTGGACTGAACCCTAAGCAAAATGAAACAAGGAAATTAGGCCCTGCACTCTCTCCCCCTATTAAGAACCATGTTCTCCCTCCTCTCCCACCCAAGCTAGTCTTTTATGGAATGTCAACCTCTCCACTATTATTCTTGTCTCCTAAAACTATCTTTCAGCAAAATACTTGGGTTAGTTCTGGCCAAGGTGGTTAGGTTGGCTGGAGCATCATCCCATACACCACAAAGTGTCAGTTTCGATTCCCGGTCAGGGCAGATGGCATGGGTTGTAGGCTGGATCAATGTTTGTTTGCTTCTTTCTCTCTCCCCCCCTCCCCTTCCTCTCTAAAAAAATAAAATAAAATAAAAAATTTTAAACCAACTTGGTTTTTCCTGGGCTACTATTACAGCAAAAGGAGGAGGAAAAAGAATGTATGGCATACATTAATAGATACAGTGTCCTGTGGTATAAGCAACCATCTGAGAACCCCAGAATCTTTTATCTGACCCAAAGTGACAGATCACAAACTTCAACCCCCATTGTACAGATGAGAAAACAGAAGTTGAAAGAATTAGTTCAAAACTCATCCAGTTTATTATTAATAGAAAAGGGACAAGAACAGAAAGGTTTTATAAATTCAAGTCATGGTAATCCTATAAAACCACATTACTTGTTGTACAGATTTATAAGCCTTTTGAAATTTTCAGGAAAAAGACTACCAAAAATATAATTCCAAAGTAAAAATAACACTATACAGAAATCAAACATGAAAAGTGTTTATGCCTAGAGTCTGACCTGCCAGCAGCACTCCTCTCTGTAAATATGCTATTGCTTAAGATTTAGATTAAAATTTCAACCTCTGTTCATTAAACTGGAGAAACTATAACTCCAGTAACCTTCTGTTATTTCACTAATAACTACCACCTCTGGACACAAGTAGATCATATCCCATTATACAACACATCTCTTAAATGTCTAAGATTCTTCTTTTTTGAAAAGTGTCTCCTCAAGATATAATTCAATTGCAACAAACCTACAATGAAATAAAATCCCAAAGAAAATAACTGTCTGTCTTAATATACTGAAAGGAAGCCACTTTGATTTCAATATTTGTTAGTAAAACTATTTTTTTTTTAATTTCTATCCCTTTCTCCCTGGGAAGATATAGTATCCTGATATATGTTTCAATCCTTCTTTGACGAACAGGGAAGTACTGAGGGTCCCTATGGTCATCAGTGACCACTGTATAATGTACAAGGTGTTGGAGATTAACTGAGAAGTATAACTACTGGTCACATCCTGGAAATTATTTTTTAATTAAACCTGATACAGTGTTTAGGTTGGCTGGAGCCTCATCTCATACACCAAAAAGTGTATAACTTTCCCTCCATTCTCCTAATAGTTGTTGGAGGCAGCAAAACAATCAGGATTATTTGGGGTTTTATCATAAAGTATTAAATCCAATGCACTGTTCCCTGGAACTTTTGTTGAAGAGAAGGAAAAACACAGCTTAAAGTTAATTCCAAAAAGAGCTGTTCACTCTCCTAATGACTGTCAGAGAGCAAGGTATTAGAAAGTTGAGGGAACAAAGATAAAAAAATCATCTTACCCTCACAAACTAACAGCAACATTATACAAGTGAATTATTTAATTCCAGGTCATATTTTATTTTTAAAAAAGTATATATATTAAATAATGTCTATGTATATACATATGTAAACTATTTTAACTAATTTAAATTTCTAGTATATGGGCAATACAAATATATTTTTCAGAAAAAAGTCTGCAGCGACCCATTTCTAACACCATAAAAGCTAATGAGTGATACCTGGCAGAGAAACTGATAATATGGGTTCCTGCAAGGCCAAGTAGTAGTAAGCAATCCCATTCCTTCAAAGTCTGATCAGTATCCTCGCCCTCCTTCTTGTATTTATCATATACTCTTATCATTTCTCTACTTATTCTCCGTGCCTAGAATAAATCTTAACACCCACTGTCCTACTGAAGAGGATGTTCTCAATTCTGTGATCTCAAAGGCTGTCCTAGAGTAAAGCTGGAGTGGACTATATTGACCTGCCCTCCTCCCAAGCCCATTTATGAGAGCTGTAACACTCCCACCCCTTTTGCCTTTTCCCCAGCCATATGGGGGCACCAGGCAAGGTGTTTGAGAGTATGGTACCAAAGCTGTAATTGTTATCAACTTAAAGAAGACAAAATGGGTATCTAGCCAGCAAATAATTATTTTATAGATGAGAGGATGGACAGAAAACTGAAGTGGAAAAGAAACAGATGGATGTTTTCTATTTCTACTATAAACCCAGTGAGGAATCTTCCTAAGACCAAAAACATATGATAACTACAATGATTCAGCACTCACTTGTAGTGCATGCCACTTACTTTAAGATCTATTTAAAAGAAACTAGAGTGGTCACTAAATAAAATTAGGTAAGACAATATTCAGTACTCAAATGTAAAAACTACCTAGATTTAAGTTTTCAAGGAAATTCAATAGTGGTAAGTAAAATATATAAAATCAGGATATATCCTGATTATTTTTTTATTTTAGAAAAATAAAAGGAGATGAAGTTCGAGGAAGAGGAACAGAGAGGAAGAAAGGAAATGAGGGGGGAAAGAAATGCTGTCTCTTGTAATAGAAAGCTACTTCTAGTTGTATTGAAGATTACCAACATTAGAAGGACTACCACAATCTAGGCAATAAAAAGCACTTATTTGCTCATCTTTCCAAAATTAAAAAAATGGTTGTTAATACATATTATTTAATACTTAACCTATCACATGCTTGTAAATTTTTTCACTCAAGAAATGTAAAAATCATTTAAAATAATAGAGTATCTAGGAAAAAAATCAGACAAATACTTTGAATGTAGTCAAGTATATCTTACCACTGACTCTACAAAGTCTACTGTGATAAATTGTGGACTCAGAAAGACTTTATATAAGAAAATAACAATGATCATAAAGTTAAATTTCTCACATAAGTATTTCTCTTAAGAAAAATAATCAACATGGTAAATGATTTTCTAGTTAACTAAATCTTGACAATCTGAAATGAAATAATTTTAATGGGTAATATTTTTAAAAGCAAAAAATTAAGACATATTTTATTATTTCTATTATTCTAAATTTTCATCTTCTCACCCTTGACTTAATTCTTATCTCAGGAGTTGATGAATATAGCTCACAAAAGACAATGTTTTAACAATTAAAACCCTGTAATGACCACTCATAATTCTCACTAAAAGCTCTGTGTTTTCCATATGACTAAGTTTAACTTCATCTGAAACTTAAAACTAATTTAAGTCCAAAAAATCATACTTTCCACATAGTATACAGTAGATAAAGCCAAGAATTGCAATATCCTATACAACTCACCCATAAAAAAAAAAAAAAAAAAAAAACTTCCCATAGGTTAAAGGTCTGAAGTCAAAAGCGCAGGAAAAAAATCAACTGGAGAAACCAAGATGTCAGCAGAGGTAAGCACCTAAACTGCAGCCTCACACAATTTCAAAACTACAACTAAAAAACAGAACAGACATCATCCAGAACCACAGGAAAGCTGGCTGAATGGAAATTCTACAACTAGAAAGAAAAAAACTCACGGAGAATCATAGGAGCTGCAAAGGGCTGAGGCATAGAGACATATTTTATTTTAAATATATTTTATCGATTTTGTACAGAGAGGAAGGGAGACAGAGAGCCAGAAACATCATGAGAGAGAGTCATCGATCAGCTGCCTCCTGCACACCCCCCACCGGGGATATGCCCGCAACCAAGCACATGCCCTTGACCGGAATCGAACCGGGGACCCCCCAGTCCCCAAGCCAACGCTCCATCCATTGAGCCAAACCGGTCTTGGCGAGGTTTTTCAAGGATTTCATAGAAAAGGCTGATAAATTTAACGAGACTCTTCAGGATATGAAAAAGGTCCAACTAGAAACTAAACATACACTGACTGAAATAAAAATATTATACAGAGACCCAACAGCAGACTAGGGGAACGCAAGAATCAAGTCAAAGATTTGAAATGCAAAGAAGAAAAAAAAAACAACCTGAAAAGCAAAAAGAATCCAAAAATTTGAAGATAATGTAAGAAGCCTCTGGGACAACTTTAAGCATACCAACATCAGAATTATGGGGGTGCCAGAAGAAGAGAGAGAGCAAAATACTGAAAACCCATTTAAAGAAATAATGACTGAAAACTTCCCCCACCTGGTGAAAAAATTACTTACAACTCCAGGAAGC